TCAACTCGCTGCCCTTCCTCCCCTAGCTACGCCTTCCTCAAGCCGGTCATATTACAGGGACTCACAGACAACTCGGTGAGTATTTGTACCCATATGGGCAACTAATCCTGATTGACCAGTTAGTTGCTCAGTTCTTTTATCCTCCAATCCTAGAGGTTCAGGGCCCTGTGCTCTCGGGAAAGCCTGCTGGCCTCGTTTGGGGACAACGTTGTTCGCCTAAGTACAGCCAACACCTACTCCTACCAGAAAGGTGAGCTATCTATCACACCCTTCAAGGCCTGCCTGCTTGCCGGCATCCCAAAGGCAAGACTGACCAGTCCTGCCTGCCCCTCCCCTAGTGGACCTGCCCTTCCAGGAATATGTGGAGCAGCTGCTGCACCCCCAGGACCCCACATCCCTAGGCAATGGTGAGCCAGACCTGGACAGCTTTGGGGACGGGGCACCTGGCAGTGCACTACAGTCAGGACTCCTGCCTCTCACCCTCTGCTGGCAGACACCCTGTACTTTTTTGGAGACAACAACTTTACCGAGTGGGCGCCACTATTCCAGCATTATTCTCCACCTCCGTTTCGTCTACTGGGAACCAGCCTTGCTTACAGCTTTGGAATTGCAGGTGGGTGCAAAAGTCTTCAAAACACTTTTGGGGAAGCCCATCCAGACTTTGTTCATCATTCACAACTGACCCCACAGGAGCTGGATCTGGGGTACCCTTCCACTGGCATGGCCCTGGTTTCTCAGAGGTGATTTATGGTCGGAAGGTCAGTACAAAGGTACAAGAGTAGGAGCTGAAGTTTGGGATCCGTAGGCCATAGCACACAAGAGTAACTTTACACTCCTTCCTCCAGCGCTGGTTCCTCTACCCTCCTGAGAAGACACCAGAGTTCCACCCGAACAAGACCACACTGGCCTGGCTACAGGAAATATACCCATCCCTAGCCCCTTCAGCTCGGCCCCTGGAATGTACCATCCGGGCTGGTGAAGTCAGTGGCTGGCAGGTGGGGGTTGGGCTGACCCAAAAAGCTCCGACCAATCTCTGTGCTTTTCTTCCAGGTGCTGTATTTCCCTGACCGGTGGTGGCATGCCACACTCAATCTGGACACCAGTGTCTTCATTTCCACCTTCCTTGGCTAGCCAAACAGGCAACTGGCAAGCCCACTGCACCAGCACATGCCAATGTAGTGCTCACAGACTTTATTACAGGACAGTGGCGGCAGCAGCAGCAACCTCAGCCCACCCTTACCCGCTTTCCAGCCCAGAAGGGGGACAGGGGAGGCTCATGGCCCAGCAAGGGGTATGCCGAGTAGGGAGCAGTTCAGAACCCATCAGCAGGACTGATGGGACAGGCCCAGGGACACAAACTATATACAGGGGCTGGAGCTTCTGCCTCCAGACCCTCCTGGGCCAGGGTGCCAGGCAGGACATGGGGCCTTAGTAGTCCTCTACCCAGCCGTTCTCAGAGATGAATGCATCAATGACTTCCTTCATGGCCAAGTTGGGTATGAGCTGTTCCTGGGTCAGAGGGCTCCGGGTCACAGGGTCAAAGTGGCCCACACGCTGCAACAACAGAGTCAGAGAGTTCAACCGCCTAAGTATACCTCGGATCCTGGTCCTGAGGCCCATGGACCCTTACCTGCAGGTGCTCCTCAATGTCCTTCCGGTCATAAGTGATACCACTGGGTGTGATGCAGGGCTCCCGCATCAGCTCAAAGCTGATCTTGCCACACAAGTAGTCCGGGATATCTCGCTTCTATAGCACAATGGGAAAAATGTCTGCAACTGGAAGGGTCACCTCTGCAGTACCTGCCCGTGGGCTTCAAAGAATACTCACCTTTCTTTTCTCATCCACCTGAGAGAAGAGCTCATCCATGTCTGCCATGTATTTATCCTGTAGAGTTGAGTGCCATGTGTGGGCAACTCATATCTCCTCCACACAGACACACACACCTTATGTCCACCAGGGCACTCATGTCATGCATGGGCCAACAGATCCACCATAGGCTGGGGCACTTTTCATGCCACACACAAAACCACACACACAACGACCCACATGTGGACTAGGGGCACCCTCACGTGCTTGGCCTCAATGCAGGCCTGCTGGGCCCGGACGTGGCCATCATCCTCATCACCCTCGTGGTTCCTCTGACACTCTTCCAGTTCCCTGAGAGTTAACCAGAAGCTAGTCAGTGATGGTTCTGACCAGAAAATGCCAGAGCCCTCCCCATTTCAGGCCTCTTGCCTCCTGGGCTTCCCCTGTTCCAGTGTTCTTTCAATAAATTCTTGTGCTGGTGACTCAGTGTCAACCCGAGGAAGTAGCATGGAAGGGGGGGGGGGGACCCACCTCTCTCGTTCAGCAGCAATGAGCCTGGTGAGATAAGAATGCAGCTCACTCTCCTGGTGAATGCGCCGTTCCTCGATACTGTTCCAACGCTTCTTCTTAGCAATGCGAAGGGCACTAGGGATGTCATCCCCAAAGTTGAGTCGCTGCTCCTTGGCCAAACTATAGGCTGTGGGAGTGGACACCTTTTAAGTTACACTCATCAACAATGCTGGCCCCAAGGTGCCCACAACCTGGCATCTTGTCAGCCCACCTCGCTGCAGATTGGCAATGGCCTCATCATAACTCTCCATCTCTAGCTGGCACTGCCCCAGGAAGAAGTGCGCCTTCACAGACTGCCCATCCAGCTCCAGGGCTCTCCGGCAGTCAGCAAGTGCCTGTTCAGGCTGCTGCATCTTCAGATAGCACAGGGCCCGGTTGGTGTAGTACACCGCCACAAGTGGGTTCCGGGTCTAGGGACCAAAGCCAGACAACATAAAGACTGTGGGCCCATCTGGATCCTTCTATCCCAGGACGCTGACAGCCACCAACGATCAGGGTAATGTTCCAGTTTTGGAGCCCATGACTGAGATCGAGAAACTGGAGGTTTCCGGGTTGCCAGAGCTCTGGGTTCTGGCTGTGTTCTCTTAACTATAACTGCTTTTGTGAACATGACCAAGAACCTCACTCCCAGTTCTGGACTTGGGCGCCTCAAGGGGCAAGGGTTCCTGGTGTCATCCTAAGCCTGTCTCAATTAAGCATCCCGCCCGCCAGTTCCCAGACAACTATCCCTGGGCTCGGGAACAGTAATCCGGGAGCCAGGGGAACAAGCTAGCTACCGAGTCCTGGCTGCCAGAAAATCGTCCCGGAATCACAGAACTGGGAGGCACATCGGGCCCCGCCCCCGCCCCCGCCCCCCGCACTCACGATGGCGCGGCCGTAGCAGGCCGCCGCCTCCTGGTACTTGCGGCCCACGAAGAGCCGGTTCCCCTGCTCCTTGAGCTCCTGCGCACTCGGGCTCTTATCGGGGCTGCCACCGCCAGTGCCCAGCCGCGCGCCGCCCTCCTTTTCCTCCTTGCCCTTCATGGCGCCGCGCGGCACGGCTTGGGCTCCGCGCCCGGCCACCTAGCTCTCGCAGCCCGCGCAGCGATCAGCTCCGCCCGGTCGGCGATCCGCCACCGGAACTTCCGGCGTGGGGCGGGGCTGGCATGAAGGACACGTGAGCGAAGGCGGAGCCTCGCGGCTGCGGAGCCCCTTCACCAAACACTGCGAAGCCACGGCCGCGCTCTCTACGGGCCCCGCCCCACAGGAGCCAGGACCTATCCTCGCTATTCAGACCAAGGCCCCGCCCCCTCCGCGCTCGGGCCCCGCCCCCCGGCCCACTCCCGGCCCACTCCCGGGAAACGTGGCAGCGGCCCTGGAGAAGTGGCACTCGGGGCCGCGGTCCCTGGACCGCTGTCCTTGCCCGCCACGCGGGTGCACGCGGGAGCCCGGGAGCGTCTGGACCGCTGGTAGGACCTCGGAATTGAGGGGACGAGAGGGAGGGAGGCCGGCAGGTCAGACCGTCCTCGCGGGGCTTCCCTGGGAATCGGGAGGAGCTGCCTGCGGCCATTAATGGCTGAGAAGCAAGCACGTGACACGTTGACACGAAAGGCCCTGCAGTGGCTGCTGTAGAGGAAACTGCGGGTGCGCGGCTGGACCCTCCCTTTCTTGCTGTCATGGGGAGGAGCTTCTTCAAGGGCGGAGCCAGCAGGTTTCCTTGGAGAGCGCTTGCACCTAGGGCCCTTTGACCCCGTGCTCTGTAGAAGAGCCACTCCTAGCCGCTGCTACTGCAGCCGTTGTCCCCTGACTCCCCCACCCGCCCCTAGCCCACCCCCAAGGCTGGAGGAGCAGATCGCGGCTCTCTGCTGATCTGTGCGTTTCAGGGTCCCTGTCACTGCCTCAGAGTGAGTAGGGAGCATGGCGGGGACTCCGTAGGAGGGTTAGCTCCAAGAAGCTGTCCCCAGAACCTCCCTGTCACTCTTTGCCGTGGTCCTGGCGGCAGGAGCTTCTGAGGTGGCAGCTGTCATATACGAAGAGGCACACAAACACTGCCTGCTGTTTCTGACCCAGGTGCAAGAGCGCGCTGCATTCCTGAGCCAAGGGCAGCCCGCTGCTGGGGCCTGGAGGTCATGCAAGACCCCATCAGGATTCAGGTGACTAGTTACTCTGGACCCCAGGACCCTTGCAGCCCTCATTAGCGACCGCCATGGGGCTGTATAGACTTTTCCTTTTGTGAAGACACCATTGCAGACCTGGGCTGTGGGGCAGAAGCTATACCCGGACCTGCTGCCTGAACTTCACCCCAGCTGGGCCGCCCGCAAGGACTGTAGGCCTGCCAAGTGAACCTGGCTCTGGTGTGGCCTTGTCTTTGGAAGGGAGGCTGAGAGAACAGGAGACTGGAGACTCTTGGAGCACAATAAATGATTGCTGAACTTGGCCTGACCCAGAAGTCCACAGTCCCTTATCACCGGCCCCACCTCCTATGTGGATTCTGGCCCTGGCCTGGAGAAGTAAAGCCACCACCTCAAGCCAGGTGCAGAGCTTCGAGAGGAAAGGAAGCACAGACCATCCTGGAGGGGGGATGTCCCATACAGTGTGGATGAGGGGGCAGACAAGTCTGCAGAGCCCCAGGACAGCTACCTAGTGCTGTGTAAAATATTTATTCATTCTCCAAAAAGGCTCAGACTGCAAGTCCTGGGGATCGGTGGGGAGGGAGGGGGTCTCCTCTAGGGCCACATTCGAGGACCACCACCCAGCCCTGGCCCAGTAGCACCCCTCCCCCAGAAAGGCCCGGGAGGGGCAGCCAGGGCTGCGGTAAGACTTGGCCTCAACCCGGTGGACCACAGGGCCCCGCCTGCCCCTGTGGGGAAGAGCAGCCCAGAGAGGTCCATCCATAGAGGGCAGACATGCAGGCCCACCTGGCGGCTGACCCCCTGCAGGCCAGGCTCCAGCCAGATGGCCCTAAGGAGCAGGTCAAGGTGGAGGGGGAATATCGGCACCCAGCAGGTCATAGGCAAAGACGTTCCAGAAGATGGCGAAAAGCAGGAAGGTGCCATAGGCAAGTAGCACCACCCACCAGCCGCACTGGTCCCTCAGGCGCTCCTCATAGCTTCGAAGGATGGTAAGGCCCATGCTTACACCTACCACTGCACCAGCCAGGTGTGCCATGAAGCTGGGCTGTGGGCCTGAGGCGGGCAGTGGTGGGGAGAAGCGCAGCCACACAGCCCGGCCCACTTCGGAACTCACTGCAGAGGGAGCGACAGGTGGGAGGGGCCCTGCCTGCAGGTGGGGGGCCTCCCAGCGCCCCCCCTGCCCCGTTACTCACTGCACACCAGAGCCAGCACCATCCTCAGCAGCTTGTACGGACACCGCATCCCAGCCCAGTTCTGGTGGGGGCAGGCAGACAGGCTGGGAAGCACATCCAGCGGGCCCCTTCCCGCCTCCCCAGAGGGGCAGCCCTGTTACCATGACAACGTTGGCCAGGTGTGCCGAGCACAGGGCATAGACCCCTCCAGAGCCCCCTACGAGAGGGGCACGCATGTCTGTGATAGAGACAGTCAGGGAGCCTGTGGGCAAAGAGAGGTGAAGGCACAGCTGGCCCTCAGCTCACCAGGTGAGGTAGGCCGGGGACCCACTCACCAATGTGCTGGTCTCACCTGCCAGCACACCTGCCAGGTACAGCAGGCTGATGCGAAGCACACCGTGTACCATCTCCAGGGGCACCCCAATCATCAGCTGCAAGAGGGCGTTGAACCCTAGCTGCTCCAGCCTGGTCACAAAGGAGCATTGGGGAGGAGTGATCAGAGGTGTGCCTTGCCTACCCCCAGGGTACATCGGGCAGCTGGGACCCCCCTGTGGGAGTTAAGCCTTCAGAGTCAATGGGCAGGTGCTGGGAGGTGAGGGGGCAGGCCTCTGGAACCCCGAGGCTCACTTACCCAACATGCATGAACATGTAGGTGAGGAAGCGCCAGGCGCGCGCGCGGTGTCCCGGGTGGTACACTAGAGGGCTCTTCATGTATTCAGGGTGGTAGGTCTGGAGCACCCACTTGTTGAGACGTGCCCCGTAGCACAGGAACACGATGATCTGGGGACACTAGTGTTAGGGCTGGTCAAGACTAGGGACTCAGGAGGCCCCGGGGCAGCATGTGGGCAGGCCCACCTGGGCAAGGGTGACAGAGGCCATGAACACAGGGGGTGGGCAGCTGCGGTGCCGGTAGAAGTACCAGCGACGATCCACCTCACAGGGCAGGATCTCGTAGGCCACGTATCGCACAAACCGCTTGTAGACCCCCAGGCCTGGCTCATCCAGCAGTCCGTCCCGAGGCAGCGCCCGCTGTCCATTAGCAATGGCCCTCTTGAAGCTGCTGGAACGCTTGCTGCTGATCTGAAGGGAAGAGGGCTCACTGTGGGCGACAGTGCTGTTCCTGTGGAACCCTGCCCTAATTGGCTGTGTGGCGGCTAATAGTTTAAAGCCCTGTTCCACACTGCCCAGGTCCGTAAGCCCTACCCAGTAAGCTGCCTGCCCACCCAGCTCTGCCCAGAATGCTGTGCCTGACCAGGCCTGGGGCCCTCCCCTGCTGCCCACACACCATGGCACTGACCAGGTCCACCAGCTCCTGGTAGCAGACCTGGCCCCGTTCGTTGCTCTGAGCCAGAGCCACCAACATGTCCAACTTGGTGGGGTCCAGGGGCAGCTCATGGCTGTGTACCAGGCCAGCGAAGGTGTCCGCACCGATGAAGCCTGTATTCTCAGGATCCAGCTGCTGTGGTGGGGGAGTAGAGGGTGGGCCAACCCCCAGCCACAGGGCTGAGCCAGGCTGGCCAGGAAGGCTGGACTTTGGTGGCAGTCAGTGCCTGTTTTGCTAGAACCAGCTTGTTCCCAGGCCATGGCAGGGCAAGGTGCCTGGCTTGGTTGCTCTGATACCTCATATTCACCTACCAGTTCTAGAAGGGGTAGGACTAGGGGTGGATCTAGGTCCAAGGACCACCACCCTCCCTCCCCAGCCTTCCGTGGAAACCCAGTGACGCCAGACCTTTCCTGGGGTCGTGAGTCTCAGGCCAAGGTCGTGCAGAGAGGGGAGGCTTCGGAGGTAGCTGCCTGGTAGGGCCTTCTGTGAGCATGGTCCCTCCCCCCCGAGCCCCTCACCGGCTGGAAGGGCGCCAAGGCAGTGCCAGCTCCCACCCACCACGCACCTGCTCCTGGATGAGCTGCAGCAGCGAGCTCCTGTCCATAGAGCCGGGCCGAGGGCTGGGGTCGGCCGAGGCCGGGAGGGGCTGCTCTGCGGACCGCTCCGCTCCGCCCCGGCCGGCCCGCTCCGCCTGCTCTGCTTTGCGCGCACCGAGCTCAGACGGCGTCACCGAGATGCCAGCCCTGCACGCACACGGGCAGAGCACGCGCGTACCCCACACGCGCACGCGCCGACGCGCCGCACATCCTGGGTAGAACCGTCCCCCACCAAACAGCTCGACCCAGAACCACCGCCTGCGCACAGCTCTTGCACTCATGCTGCAGAAGCCTCTCCCAGGAGGCCGTAGCCGGGAACCTGCGCGCCCTCTTATGCAGCCTTTCTGGTTTCCGTGCTTAGCACCTTCTCTAGGAAGCTTTCCCTGACTAAAAAATAGGCCTGTGATCCATCCCCGGGATGTTAAGGTCCATTTGCTCCCCACCACACTCAGACGTTTTCCTGAGCGGGGAGCTGCCTGCAGTACAGTCTCATGATTATCTGCAGTGTCCCAGCAAGGAAGCCCCAGGTCCTGCAAAGCAAGCCCAGACACCAGGTGGTAGGGAACTGCCACTGCTCAGACCAAGACTCACACCCTTCCCCCTACTGTGGCTAAGGCTTGAAGCTCTAACCAAAAACACTCCTGCGCTGGATTTCAGACAGCAGGGCTCCCAGTGCAAAGGCCCAAAGTCAGACATGGGTGTAGCCAGGCAGACCCATAGCCTTCTGAAGGAAGAAGGTAGGACCGCAGCTTAGATAGAGAGGGCATTTGTTCCTGAGGACAGAGGTGACAGACCAGTGAGATGTGTAACCATGGCAACCCCTCCAAGTGTCATTCAAAAAAACAATCTGCTGCTGCAGAGATGCAATGGCAATTCCTCTATAGGGGATACAGCTGCCTACAAAAAGCATCCTGTCCATATGCTTAGCGGGACAGAAGGCCAGTAGGCTGGGACACTGGCAGACGGATCCCCATTAGGCAGACATTCTAGGCAGGGAGTACCTACCTGCCCCAACTCAATGACACACTGGTTATCTGGGTATGTGGGTTCCTGTCTCAAGCGCTCTTGCTGGTAGGCTGTGTTGAAGAATCAACTCTGAGCTCCACTGTTTACCCTCCCCTCAGTAACAGTCAGACTACACATACAGCCTAGGTTCTCAACATAGCCAGGCAGGCTGACTGGGCTGAAGTTTGGAGCGTGTGGTGGTACTAAGGAACCACCACCACAGAAGCTACATTCCCAGGGAAGAAATAGGCACAGGCACTGGACCTGTCACACAAACACCAATCCACTGGTGGAGGCTGACTTTCCTGGACAGTCAGGAACTTCAACTGGATCTTCCACAGCTATTTGTCACTGTGACTAGTGGGAGACCTCAGAATAGGGACCCAGCTGCTGGGCGGTGGTGGCGCACGCCTTTAATCCCAGCACTTAGGAGGCAGAGCCAGGCAGATCTCTATGAGTTCGAGGCCAGCCTGGTCTATAGAGCGAGATCCAGAACAGGCACTAAAAAAGAATAGGGACCCAGGAACAGAGGGAGACAGGAGGGAGGGTCAGGTGACATTTCCAATCCACACATAGAAGTCACATTTAGACTGATTGAAGAAAAGCCATCTTTATGGGGCTGGAGAGATGGCTTAGTGGTTAGGAGCATTGCTGCTCCTGCAGAGGACCTGGATTTGTTCTCAACATCCACGTGGAAGTTTACAATCATCAGTTAACTCCAGTTCCTGGGGATCTAACACTCTCATCTGGGCTCCACGGGCACCAGACACACACAGTGCACTTCTTTATATACATGCAGCCAAAACAAACATATAAAAAATAAGCATTTTTTTTTTTTTAAAGAAAGAAAAAGAGCCGTCTTGAGAGACCAATATCCAAGAGATGGAAAAGACAAGTGAGTTTAATCAGGGAACCCAATTCCACTTGCTCGGCAGCTGGTCCAGTGCGGGTAAAGATAGGTGGGGACTCTGTGACTGTCAGGTCCCTCCTCGATTTGACCACCACCGCTTGTCCCCCCACATGCCTACTGGCCATGTAGAACCAGGAAGCACCCTGAGAACTCCTGGTCCTGGTCCCTGGCTTCTGTACCCACAGCCCAGCCCCTAACACAATACTCCATCCAAGGCTAAGGCCTCACCCCTGCCACCTGGACCCTCAGTCCCAGCAGGACAGGGCAAAACACAGCCCTGTTATGGAACAAGAGGTTTCTGAAGCCACGGATTTAGACAAAGTCCCTGAGCAGGTACCCCACATCAATCCCGGGGACCCTGTAGCCACACAGTCATTACACCACCAAACTGAAAGCCCACATTCCTCTGCTGTGTGGGCCCCACAAGGCCCCACAGTGTGCGTGCGGTGCCTTGGTCACGAGAGGCTCATCGGTCCTTCATCATCGGCTCTTCACTAGGACCCTGTATAGTGAGAAGCTAAGGACAGCAGCCACCGCAGTCCCAACAGCCACCAGCATTCCCCGAAGCCAAAAGGAGGTGGGGTGCAGCTCTGTGTGCACCAGGTGTCTGTGGAGAGACGGACGTGCAAGGCATATGCTAAAAGCTCCCTGCTGAAAACCCGTGTCCCAGGCAGTCAGAGGCCAGGCCCAAGGTGGACACCGCCACAGCTCTCTGAGGCACCGGGGCCGCCCCGCAGCTCTGACGCCTTTGTACCCAGATGACAGACTAAGCCCGGGGACAGCCACCCCACACTAAGGCTGGGTTAGGTATACCCACGGGAAGGTGGCCATGGTAGCAAGTTGGGTAAAGACAGCTGTGCTGGGCTGCGCTGGTCCCAAGCAGGAGAATGAGGCGGGGGCAGGCAGCCGGTGCCTACGGCAGAACTCAGCTGGTGACAGGCCCGGTGAAGCCACACCTTCCGGGAGATCAGCTTTGGAGGAGATGAAGAGGCAGGGGGTCTGCCCGTCCATGTAATGGCGCTGCCAGCAAAGACACATGGGAGAGCCTAAGCTTGCTGGTCTAGCTAGCGAGCCTATGGCTAGTAGCCCCTTACAGGATCCTAGGTCAGGACTTGCCTTGTATATGGTAGCACAGTGTACAAAGGTCTTGGGGTCACTGCTATCAAACATTAAGCAGGCGACATCACAGGTGGTGTCCAGAGAGGTGTCCAGCAGGCTATCAGCACTCACTTCACACAGCTGGGACAAACAATAGCCTTAGCGACCTCCCCCAAGGCTTGGGTCCCCCAGGGCCACCCTGGGAAGAGCTCTATTAGGAGGAAGTATGGGGAACATGGAGTGTTGCAGGTCCACCCTCTAAGACAGGCCGCACAGTCCCTCACTCACAATCAGGTACTTCTCCTGTCCGCTGACCCGCACTGTATTGATGGTGTGCATGGGGGGCTTCTCAGGGAGTTCCCTGTCTTCCTGTGTGGACAACAGGAAAGAAGCCTTGATTTGTTGGCTCCGGAGTGGTACCCATGGTACCTCTCCCGCCCCTTGAGTTCCCAGGTAGAGGCGGGGACTGCCGCAGGTCTCACCCTCAGGCTGTGGCCCAGGAAGGCTTGTAAGAAGGCCGACTTGCCCACTCCTCGGGCTCCCAACACCTTACACATAAGAACATTGCGCTGTGTCTGCCCTTTCTCCTGGTCTAGCCTCTTCTCACGGGTAACTGTAAAGAGCTCACGTGAGGGGGTTGGCTACTGAGGAGGCGCGGGGCCCAGGGACCAAAAAAGTGGTTACCCACCTGTGATGGCCTGTGCTTGGGAGTCCTGCTCACAGAGGGTGGGGTAGCCCAGGTAGCCAAGGTGTGCAAGGCAGTGCTGGACATCTAGGTAGGTCACCAGGCTGGGGGTAAAGGAAGGCACAGTGCTAGAGAGAGTAAGGCAGGGGGGGTAGGCATAGACAGACAGACAGACACAGGCTGTACTTACGTCCACTGGCAAAGATACCCATGCAAGGGCAGCCGGCCAGCCTGAGTGGGGACGGTGTGCGCAAGTTCAGGGCCCCAGGGAGCCACTGAGAACACGCTGAAGAGATTCTGGAGCTCCGCGGGTGAGAGGGCGCCATCATGGTCCTGCAGGCAGAGGGGCTATGGTGACATGTGTTTGGGGTGTGTCGAGGGGCAGGTGAGGTAGCGGTGCTCACCTGGTCGTGCTTCTCAAATACCCGCTGCACAAACTGGTAGCCACGGTGATTGAGCTCTGTGCTGCAGCCAGGGGGCACATGGAGCCTGTGGGAATGCCAGAGGCAGTGTAGTACACTTCAACTTTCACAGTGCAGGACCTGCCTGGGCAGTCAGGCACTCCCAACAGAACCCTCTGGTCACATGGGTGGGGCTAGGCAAGGGGAGTGGCTGTAAGTGTGTGTTGAGAGGCCAAGCTGGAGTCCCCAGGTCACAAGATCAAGGCAGATCCAATAGGAAGCCAGTGCTGAGCGCCACCCCCCACCCCCGTCCCACACAGGCCCAGTGAGCAGGACCCCCCCCCCCAAGATATAAGCCCCACTGCCCACCCGCTTGCAACTCACGGTGGGCAGAGGTAGTCGGACGTCAGCTCCAGTGAGTCACTGTAACCAAAGCGCCGCAGGATGGTCCATGTGGTCTCATGCCGGCCGCGTTGGATGAAGAGTGTGTTCAGGAAGAGGAAACCTGGGAAAGGGTAGAGGGCTAGCGCTCAGCCCAGCCACTCCCCACACATAAGGGCACAAGATGATGTCTGCCTCACCTTCTAGGGTCAGCCGGTTGTCCTGTACACCACCTGCCACATTCTTGTACACGACCCTCTTCACATCATCTAGGGCCTGTGGGGCCAGGGGATGGCCAAAGCAGGACTTCTGCCTCCGGTAAGAAAGCGCTTCAGATCAGTCAGCTGCCCCCCTCCCACGATTCCTCTCGTATGAGGGCAGCTAGGGTCTCGGGGCAGGACCACACCTGGAAGGCATTGAGCTCCTCATCACTGAGCGCATGGTCTAGGTCCTGGTCTGAGAGCCTGAAGATGCGTGTGAGAGCCTGGGCGCACGCAGGTCTTAGCTGTGGGGACACAACACCAAGTGGCCCTTTCCCTGTTCACCCCGCCAGGGCTCCCCTGCATTTGCTCTCCTTATTCAACACTCCACACAGAACTTGGGGTCAGTCTTGGGGAAGTAAGTGTGTGGCCCTCACCCACTGCTCACCTGTTTGGTCTCAGGGTCGTAAAGCGGGG